CACAACTGCAGGAAAAAAATGGCATCACAGGCTTTTCAGAGAACTCTCCATGCCAGATTGGCACACTTGATTTAAAAAAAAAGGAAAATTTAGTCAAGAGGAAAAGCTCTTCAGAGCAATAGCTGTTGCAAAGATTCCCACTGGCATACAAAAGGACCTCACCTGGACTCTTTGTGATTATGATGCCCAATCTAAGACTTCCTTGGAAGCTGGAGTGCATAGAACACACAAGGTGCAAGTCTCTCACTAAAATCCCACACTGCCCTGTTTCTCTGCTGACATAATCCATGGCAACCTTATTTTAACCATATCCTTGGATGCAAAGCATTTGTATCACACTAGTGAAAGTTACAGTGAGCATTAGGAGTGGCCATGCATCTAATGTCTTACAAACAAAGACTACTATAGCCTCATGTTAAAGTAAATGTTCAACAGAGACAGTCTTCTAACAAAGCTATTGGTACTAAAGCAGCACACAGCCCAGCTGTTGCTGCTGTTTGCTGGTGAGGCAGCAACACAGGCCAAATAAAAGGTTCCTTTTCTAAGCCCTGAGGTAAAACCTGAGGCTGTTTATGGTGGCTTCAAAGGTCAAAATTAATAGTGAGAGCAGAGTTCCTCCTCCTCTTTGAAATGATACAACCAACTGGGCACCGAAGTCTGATCTGCACATCACATGTGTGTAAATCACTACAAGGTGCTCATCCAATCAGCACACACAGCTCCTATGCATGCAAAGGTCTCTTGTTATCACATCACAGAGCACACAATTCCTTTGCACAGCAGCATCTCCTCTTCGACCACCCTGAGCCCCAGGGAGTCCTAAAGGAGCACATTTTTAGTTTCCAAAAATCACCATAAGATTGTTGACTTCTGAAATCATGTGAACCGCATGGGTCATTTACTATACTCCCCAGCCTTCATGCAATGGCAGCACAGTCACCCAAGAAAGGATTTGTAAAGATGTAGTAAACACCACTCTTTACTGAGAACTGGGTGTGATGGCACACAAGTGAACTGCCTTCCTTCCAGTGTCCCAAGTAAAGATTCCGAACAGGGAAGAAGGGATCCCTCTGCCTCATTCTACCTTACCAATGTGGATTCAGGAACACAATTCAGAGGTCTCCCTAATTTAGGCTCCTTGCACTCAATCTAAACATCCTGTCTGCCTGGACACAGACCATCCCCCCTCTTCTTCTGACCTCCAGAAAGGACAATAAATGAGTTTCCACCCCAATCTCATTTTGGATCTCATTGATCAGCCAACAAATGGAAATGGAGGCAATCTGTCTTCCCTCCACCCATAACTCAGACTCCAACGCCCAGAGGGAAGAGGAACAGAGGCTCAAGTCTGCTCTGAAATTCTTAGACTCTAGGGAAGATCATGATACCAGACCAATGGACCAAAACCAAACATGAAGCACCTTCCCAATGATGGAGCCATGGAACATTTTAATGGCTAATCAATGCTTCTGAGCCACTACAAACCTAGCCTATTTGCAGAACTCAAATAGGTTGTGCTCAGCACTACCACTCCATACAGTTTCTAGGTGCAGAAGAGAAAAATGGGTGGTATTGAAAGGGATAAAGGGAAGAAGAGGGGGAGTACAATACTTGGGCTGTCCATGCAAGCCTCTGCTCACTTGCCTCTAAAAGGCTGCATCGTCAAGTGGAAACCTTAACAGACAAGGCATGATTAGCAAACGCTTTTGTGCTCTTAAAGGAGAGTAATTATAGGCATGTGAAAAAAGGGAAGTGATCCCGGAGGTACTCTTCCTTGCACACCTCCCGAGAGGCAGCAGGGCCATTAAAAATTCCATGATGAAGAGGAAAAACAGCCTGGGAACAGCCAGGAGGCAATACAGCAAATTAATACACCAACTATCCCTGGGGAGAGCTGCAAGAAAGCAGAAAACTCTCCTCGCTTTGCAAAATAAAATTATACCACTAATGATAACAGAGTCACCACACACACACACAAAACCGCTTCTAAAGATGGGTGTGAAATCCCCAGTACTGCCCAGACACTTTGAATGAAATCTCTCTGCATCGCAGACATAAAGCAAGAAAGGAAATCTTGTATGGTACAATTTATACAGCCTTTCAACGGTATCTTCCCAAGGAACCCTCCATACAGAACCTTCTCCTTGACACTGAAAAGCCCTTCTTATATGCCCACAGCTGTGCACGCAGCATTCGGGCCAGCAGCTCTGTTTAAATGAAGCACTGGGCTCCAAAACACTCACTGCACTGCACTGCAGTCAGACAAACTGCACCAAAAGCCACCAGGGAGGCGAAGAAAACATTTCCACAAGGGAAAAGAGAACAAACTCCACCTGATAACTGGGTTTCTAGCAGATACATTTGCAAAAGGCTTTCCAAAGGCAGTCATCAATCGTAAAAAAGACAAGAAATTGAACAGAGGGAAGCAGTATTACTTGGCACAGTGAGCACCACGCTGAAAGTGGGCATCCAGTACATTGCTACAATACCGCCAGGACAGGCTAATGTCTAACCAGACATCATAGAATCAATCATAGAATATCAGGGTTGGAAGGGACCTCAGGAGGTCATCTAGTCCAACCCCCTGCTCAAAGCAGGACCAATCCCCAATTAAATCATCCCAGCCAGGGCTTTGTCAAGCCTGACCTTAAAAACTTCTAAGGAAAGAGATTCTACCACCTCCCTAGGTAACGCATTCCAGTGTTTCACCACCCTCCTAGTGAAAACGTTTTTCCTAATATCCAACCTAAACCTCCCCCACTGCAACTTGAGACCATTACTCCTTGTCCTGTCCTCTTCTACCACTGAGAATAGTCTAGAACCATCCTCTCTGGAACCACCTCTCAGGTAGTTGAAAGCAGCTATCAAATCCCCCCTCATTCTTCTCTTCTGCAGACTAAACAATCCCAGTTCCCTCAGCCTCTCTTTAACCTTTCTTCCTATGCCCTGTGTTTTCCCACCGCCATTTGATAAGTAGACAGATAGAAGCCACCTCTGTAGGAAGATTATTTGGAGTTTACAATAACAACATCAGCTGGGTCCAAACCTGGAACACTGGGAGATTTTGATAACTAGAGCAGTGAATGAGTAGATTCACAGGACTGTCTGACCCTCGTGCCAGGATTTACGAAAGCTGTTTATGGACCTTTTAGTGGCTCTGTAAGGGGTTAAAGGAGAACTTGGCTTTAAAGAGCAACTGTTTGTTGCGGGGACCTTTCTATAATGGAGTTTGTGAAAGCGTGCTCGCATTTTTATATCTTTGGCAACACCTTTAGGTAAAGTGAAACACCTTTCACTAAAGATTTCAGTCTTACCTAGGTACATGGAGCTGCACATGCATTTTCATTTCTACTGCATCTTTCATCCCAAAGAATTTTTAAGCACTTTTCACACTATATACTGGAACCACTTCATCCTCATTGCAGGCCCCTGAAATGCAGGCACCTCTAGAGTGGATAAGCCAGTTGTTTAACAGCACATGGCAACGCACCACCACAGATTAAGAGGCGGGATTAAAGGGCTAGCACATGAGATTTATATTTTGAAATCGGGCAGTAGTTTCTGAAGAAGAGGTCTCAGGGTACATGGACACCCATCCATTAGTTACTAAATTATTCACGTAGCAGAAATGAGAAACCCCAATGATCACACTTGCTTCAGAAAACCCTTGTTCGACACGGCCATACCCAGTAGCTTTGGGAGCAGGGCAGGGCTTTCACTGGCCAAGCTAGGTGCCATCAGCTTTTTCCTGATTGGATTTATTAGCAGGAGACAGGTTTGTTTTTTATAGGGAGAACAGGGAATGGCTAGTTCCACTTGTAGCATTGGGCATATACTCAGTGCACCGGAAGGGACCTGCTCACTGCACTATGTAGAGATGCAGCTCCAAGCTTCATGGTGAAGTTTACAGGGGTGCAAGGCAAATGTGAAGGCGAGAACCATTGAGAGAAGCAGGTTTGCTGGTTAGTATTCTCTTGGATTCTTTTTACTCTCATCCTGTCACTGCTCCTCCAGCTGCCGTGTCCTATGCAGAAGTCACAGACCTGTATGTATGACATCATGGTGCAACATCACTAATTCCCTGCAGAAGCCAGTGGGAGGAGAGGCTGAGCTGGGAAGATGCCAAGCCTTCATTTAGACAAACAACCCTAGAATATTTTTCATGCCCTATTTACTAATTAACAAGTGAAAGGAAACTGAAGCTTTACGTATGGAGAGCTCCTTCAGAATAAATCTGTCTTTAAGAACACAAGTAGAGCTCCCTCCCTGGCCAGGCTTCATCCACACACAGTAAGAAGGGTGCAAAGGTGCATTACACTTTGACAGCAACAATTGCGGAAGATGCTGGAGTGACCTCTGTGAGGCCAGCATTTCAATCAGATTTAATAGTGGCCAGCAGAAGGCACTTGTACAGCACATGACCTTTCCCCCTCGAACCAAACAATGCCAACTCAAACATGCCTGAACTCTTGGTCATTCCTGACCCAAGTTTCTCACCATAATCCCACAGCACAGAGATATCACCAGTCACAAAGTCATCTCAGTTTATCTACTGCCAAGTCTGCTAACCGTCCAGGACACCCACTTCAGATACTCAGGGATCTTAGGGTTCCTCAGTAACGCACATTAGCCTACCGCCACCTTCTTTGCAGTTTGGTTTCCAATTCTAATAATAGGCAAGGATAAGGCCATCTATATCTTCATATGGTCTACAGCAACCCACCATCTTGGTATTACTGGGCACTGTGTGGCAGAGGTCCAATCTGTATTTCAAACCCAGACCACGTTCTGTCCCCAGAACCTTATTGCTCACTACTCTGCATGCCCACTGGCAACTGAGTGGAGACCAAACTTATTGCATGTGTACATTTTATCAGGATTGGAACCCAGGTTTCCAAGAGCGTTAACCCACAGGCTTGCTAGTACTGAAGGAACCAGACATGTGGCAAAGGAAGGGAAATGAGACAATCCTCATAATAGGAGCAAAGCAGGGGGATTACCTGGCAGTGCAGTGTGCTGGTGAGCATCTTCTGTGGGAGGCATCAGCAAGAACATCCAGAGAGTACAAAGGAGATAACGGATTGAACTGGAAAGTCCAAGAGAGATTATTTAAGCAGTGTTTAAAGGAACAATTTCCAGATGCAGCAGCTCAAATCCACTCTCCACATTGGCTCACGCAGTATTCACAGACTTGCTCCAACACACCATCAAATAATGGGGGCAAGTGATATCTGATTCTGTCCCTTCCACTATCCTCTTTCAAGGCAACAACTCTGCAGAGGAGTTGCTCCTCTTGCTCAGCACACAAGCAACAGGGTAAACAAGAGCATATTCAGGGAGCCCTATATGGGACTGCTGCACTCCATGATGAGAGTCCACCTCCCCCAGGGAGAGCTTCCTGCCCATGCCCTTGGGTCTAAGGATAGAAGTCATTTCCATAAATACAAGTAAAGATGCAGTAAAACTCCTCCTCATGTTGGACACTTGGATCAGTGGAGCAGATTCATTACCAGAAGACTAACCATGCTCCCAAAAACTCAATTTCAAGGCTCAATTCAAAGAGAGCTCCCCATTGCTTCCACAGCAAAGGGACTAGCTGTATTAAAGACCCCCCCCCCCCCCCCAGTTAGCAAGGTCTCTCACATCATGGACCCTTTTTAAGCCAATTTCAGAGAAACATGGATGTTCATCCCCCTCCTTCTGGTCTTCAGAGTAGTCCATGATCTTCTGTCACGCTGCAGACACTGGAAGAGCCTAAGAGCCATCAACTCTATTAAGGGCAGCTTATCTTGAAGGACACAACCCTGGAAATCTTTTTAAGAGAGGGGTGGGAATTGAACAGTCACTAATCAACCACATGATGACATGAAGCAACATTTACTCAATTTGGAAACAGACTGCAGAATTCATCCTGCTAGCTACCCTCTGGATGCCTGCGTTAACCTCTCAAGTAACCACATGCATCATCATCATCCTCTCCTCCTGTTTGTTCTCAACTTAGCCTAGAAGCTCTTCAGGGCAAGGAATCTATTTTTGTGTGTGTTATAAAGTACTAGATACATCTCTGGTACTCTATCCTAAAATAAGAAGCGGTAACTTACCTTGTAGAGTAACTGGAGGTCTTTGAAACGTGTCCCCCATGGGTGTCCACAGAAGATGTGCAAGTGCCTCCAATAGGAGATTTTTGGCAGCAGTGCCTGTTTGGTCCGGGCATGTGCCCTAATTATCGTAATGGCTCATACTGAGGGCATACAGGGCTGTGACAAACAAACTGCCATCAGTTCCTTCTCTACTGCAAAGTCTCACAAAGATGCCAAAGTAGAGAGAAGGCTCCACTTGACATATCTCCTGAGCAGTTCCCTCTGAAGGAGAGAGCTTTGGAACCCAGTCTAGAATTGTTTGCAGAATTGCAGAACCAAAGGCAGCATCTTCCTTTGAGGTATTCACTAAAACATGGTGTCCTGAGAAGATGTGAACTGAAGCCCATGTAGCAGCACTGCATATTTCTGCTATAGGAACTGGGGGTGGTTCATCTGTCACAGACCTATATATCCTCAGTACAGGGCTTGAGGATAGCTAGGGTGCATATGTGGATCAAACAGGCATTGCTATCAAAAAATCTCCAATCAAAGGCACACGCAGCGCATGTGCATCTCAAGTGGAGCACCCATAGGGACATTTTTCAAAGAACTGGGCGCTTGTGCTTTTAAGAAATGATAAATTAATAATCCTTCAGCTATGAAAGGACCCTGGCTATAAACACCACTCAGGAATCCAGAACTCAGTGCCACCTTTTATAAACAAAGGGCTTGATACAGGCTGAAGAGATGCTATAATCTCTGAAACGTCAATTATCAGACAGCGTCTCCTTTAAATGACCATTATTCTATTGTCAGACAAACATTACAATGGAATTGTGGGGACAAACCTCCAGTGACTCCTTGTAGCTATTTAAGTTCATCATAAGAGCAGCATTTCCTGTGGCTCTCTCAAGGTCTACAGAGTCAGTCTTCACTCTGACACTCAGAGCATTATGTATTTTGAATGTTAGAGAGCTATTCTAACAGGCAGGGGACACTATGGCCTCAAGAGTAGTTCTATCGCCCTGGAGACATGAAATGCTCACTCAGAGCCATCTGAGACAGTAAAACTGAAATCCAATTTCAAAAACAAGGTGCATTCAACATCAGTGTCTGTGAAACAAAATGAGCATCTGACCACTGAACAGAAGGAGACACTATTGCTGTGAGGAACCAGACAGTACTGGTGCACCCAGGAAGAGGCCCATTGCCTTGGCAGAGTCACAGAGACCGGGCTCTTCTGCTTTGGCTAGATAAGCCAATTGTCACTGAATCTGATCTACGTAATACACTTATTGGAGAAGACTTGACAATGTGCACTTATGTAGGGGTGATGGAAAACAGAGGGGGTGACTATTCTCCCGCCCCATCACTTTCCAGTACTTCCCTGGTCTGGTGCTATTTAACTACAATCAGGCCAACAGCTTTTCTTCCTCTACAGGATCACCAGGAAAAAAGCATGACCCAAAATGGATGGATGTGAAGGGTTAAAAGGAGAAAGAGTCCCATTCATGGGGTTTGCAGAGAATCCTACAGCCAAGACGACCCTCCCTCCAGCTCACTGTCAGGGAGAAAGTTAAACAACCAGTCGGACTGAGGGAGATTTCAGGAGAAGACTGGGGTCCCAGGGAGGTACTCAGTACCAACAGCCCATATGACCCTGGCATGTGGGACGTACTAGAAGCCCAGAAGATGTCAGTTAGAGTGAGATGAAGGGCTGGGACTGCCTTACCTCATGTGCACAGGCCACAATGTGGTGGAAATCGGAAGCCAGCACTTTGTTCTTTCTAGAAAGAAGGAAACCAAGTGAGAAAATAAAAAAGGGAACAGCAGAGCCATCTTACCTGGTTGCAGTCTCTCTTCCCCATCGATGGTAACCAGAAACTGGAGGGAGGAAAGATGGAATGGGAGACAGAGAAAGGAAGGAGCAAGGGGGCGGGAGGGTGAGGGAGAACAGAGAAAAGGGGAGAAAAAAACAGAGATGGAGAAAAAAGGAAGTGAGATTAAACATTGACAGGACTCATACTCAAAATGACAAGTTTTAAACACAGGGAGCCAAGTAGGCAGGAGGTGAATCTGGATGCCGATAGCCAGTGAAGATTGAATTCACTGCAGCATGATCAGGAAAAGCCACCCTACCTGTCAAACCACCACAGTGGCAGTTCCAGGGAAACCCACCCTGATCACCCATGGTACTGGTTATGATTAGGAGGAGGAGCTGGGAGGGAAATGCAGAACATTGCATCTGTGGAGAAGCCAAACTGGCTGCTGATTTGTCAGCATCACTTCCACTGCCCAGCTCTGTTCCCATGGTGCTCCTCCATACACAGTGCTACTCAATAATGAGCACAGAGGGTCCTCTAAAGCTGTGCTAAGGACCGATGGATCTGTGAAGTGCATGTGGTAAAGGAGGGAGAAGGAGGAAGGTTCAGTGTAATTAAAGGGATAGCATGCCGTAGCCATACATTGGGGCAGACCTATAATGGAGGGATATGAGCAAATGCAAATAGGGCAGAAGGGAGTAACAAGTCAGTTTTGGACCCAACTATCTCCCATCTCACAGGTTATTTTGTCGTCACTCCGTCCAGTCCCAGTGAGCAGATGGAAAGAGGCAGTCTCAAGGTATTGCACAGTTCACGCTCCCCTTCACCTACTCAAAGTGCTAAACCAGTGGTCGGCAACCTTTCAGAAGTGGTGTGCCAAGTCTTAATTTATTCACTCTAATTTAAGGTTTTGCGTGTCAGTAATACATTTTCACATTTTTAGAAGGTCTTTAAGTCCACAATATATAACTAAACTATTGTTGTATGTAAAGTAAATAAGGTTTTTAAAATGTTTAATTCATTTAAAATTAAATTAAAATGCAGAGGCCCCCGGACCGGTGGCCAGGACCTGGATAGTGTGAGTGCCACTGAAAATCAGCTCGTGTGCTGCCTTTGTCACGCATGCCGTAGGTTGCCTACCCCTGTGCTAGACCATAATCAGTAGCAGATAGGTCCTTACTCTTTTTGACGTGGGTCACTAATGATGTGGCTCATCCTCTCACTGCCCAGAGTGCTCAAGCTGGTCTCCTGAAACACAAAAATAGGCAAAAGCTTCATCTGAGACATTCCCCCTCCTTCTCCAAGAAGCAGACAGCACAGACACCACAAATATATTCAAGGTCCTGTTTTCCCAGAGTAACCTCTCTGACCCTGGCTGTGAGGTCTGTGAATCCCCTCAGGGACGCAAGGCTTCTGTAAGCAGTTACTCCAGGCTGCTAGGTGAGGAGGGCAGGAGACTCAGCTCAGGCAGAAAGGAGTTCCTATGGTTCCTACTAAGTAGAACCGACAGCTCCTCTTTCTCACAAAACTGAACCTTTCTCCTTCTCCCTACTTTACAACATGCACTGCACACACAAAAAAAAAAAGGGGAGGGAAGGGGGACACAACAGGAAGGGGAATTTCACCAGCACAGAGAAGGCAACTGAAGTGCTCCGTGTGGGAGCTTGGACTGTCCAAAAGCAGCAGATTCAGTAAAAACTCCTGCAGCAGTTGAGTAAAAGCACATTCCAGGAGGGAGGAATTGCTTTGGGAGCTTGGTTCTGACCAAAGCCCATGTTTGTTGCCTGTACACATTCATACAGGAGGCTCTAAATATCAGGCTGTTTATCTTCACATAGCAATTGGCCATAAAAAATTCACTGTGGGGGGAGGGGAAAGAGATGTAGGTCAGGCTCCAGATATGAGGGGAGAAGGCTTCACAGGCCAGACTCTCCAGAGCTTATGCCAAACTGCCTGGGCACAAATGAACATGAGGTTTAGGGGAGGCAGCAGCGGCAGCAGGGGTGAACAAAGATGGGCTATTTGTTACAGCAGGAAAATTATTAACTTAAAGTGCCGTAATGTTTAAATTTACGGTTTATTACTGTGTAAATTACAAGCCGTACTTTGGGTAATTAGCAGCTCGCTGGCGGGGAGCTCTGAATGAAACTCATTATTTATTATTACAATTTAGAGGGAGAACGGGGAGGGGGAGCAGTGACCTCCGCTGGAAATGACAAAGATCCCTTTAAGGTGATGAAGATGAATTAAACAAGTAAATATTATCCTTCTCATTTGGGATCATTAGAGGAGCCTCCAACAGGCACAGGCCCTTGCAGGTGGCCTGAAGAGCCCTGCTCAAAGCAGATTTCACATCAACTGAGGACTCTTATTTTAAAATACTGGCTACAACTAAAGGTGAATGGGCTGAAGAAGGGAAGAACAGGAGCTGTTGAGTGTGACTAATAGAGAAGGGAGAGGAACTGCACCCCTGACACACACACCCCAAACTCTGAATCATTATCATGAGGCGTTATCCTCACAAAGTGGGAGGGCTTCCTCTCTGTAGCTGAGAGGTCTTACCCTTTCCCCACCAGTCCTTAGGCAGGGAAAATGGATCTTCATCAATGAATGTAAAGCAGTCTCTCCAAGAATACAGAGTAAGTCCCACCAACAAACATCCAATCCCTCACCTTTCTTCATCCCCAAAAGCCTCCTTATTCCATCATGGTTGATAGCTCCGCTCTCCGCCCCATTGTCCCCACACCGACGTGGCTTTCCTCTTTCCCACCACATGCAGGCTTGTGGTAAATCCTGTCTCTCCTTTTGTAACAGATATATGTTCTTTTCTCTCTATGCCAACTGCTGTAATCCTGGCCAGGGGTTCATTTCTTGCAATTAATTTCATTCATTTCTTGCATTCATTAGTGGAACCTTCTCTCTGACCTCCTGTCCTTTCAGCCATCCAAAATGATGCACCTAAAATCATCATTCTCTGCTGCCAATCAGACCATGTTGCTTCTCTGTTCAAAACTCTGGCTTGTCTTCACCTCCAACATCAAGTTTAAGCTCCCAGTCTTTGCCTCCCAGGGTCTGAATCTGCACAGCTCTCCCAGATACATCAATGCTGTCATTTCCCCCTAAGCGCGAACAAGCTTTCTGCCAATATAGCTCCCTTTGTATTCACCCTCCATCTTCCCACCTTCTTTGGCTGCTTGTCTTAACTATTTGGTTTTCAGCTGGATGTTATTTTTCAAAGAAAGTAGTATGTGACAGGACCACCGTACAGGGTTCTTCTGCACAAAATAATCCACCTGCTGCCTTAGAGCAGCAGTTCCGAACTGACCAGCAGAGCAGACACAGAATTTCCCTCTTGGAAGAGGCAATACCTTGCCAACGAGCCTCCTACGTCCCTTTCTGAGACAACGGGCAGCAGCTCCTGGAAGGCGGTTCAGACGGGCATGAAACCCTGAAAACCAAGAAAAGGAAAAAGCTGAGCACTGAAGGCAGAAGGTTGCTCCTGGCAAAACAGTGATGAGAGGCCTTGTGGTCCAGCGCCTAGAAGAATATGAGATTCAGAGTCATGAGAACTGGGTTTTATATTCTGCTCTGTGTGACCTTGGACAAGTCAGAACCTCTGTGCCTCAGTTTCTCCATGAGAAGACTTACCTAAGAGCTACAGATAAAAATCTATACATTATAAAAAGGTGACTGAAGAAGTTAGGCAGCTGAAATGAAGGATGATTCACCATTTCATAGCGTTCTCTTTTGGGTGGTGCAGCCATCTTTAATCTAGACTTCTGTTTGCTTTACAGATAACATCAAACACAATATCAAAATTCCATTTACTGTAGAGGTACATGCAGAGTGTCCCGACTGCTCCAGTCTAAAAACAGAGCACAACAAAATAATCCAAAGCAAGCATATTTTAAAAATCTATAAACAGGTCAACTTTAATATCAGCTTAAGTTGAGCATCTCTGTAAATGAAATCTGCTCTCTGCCATTTGAAGGTTCACAAACACACTTCTGAACCCATCCCATTCCCTGTGGAGCTCACCCCTCTGAGCAGGCCGGGAAGGCAAAAGGAACGTAGAGTCAGAGAGTTTTTCCAGGCCAGAGTCCATTCGCTCCACCTCAGACCGGTGATCAGCTCTCCACTTGGGCAGGAGGTTGGGGACGGTGAATCCTGGGACACATTCTCCCTCATAGAACCAATCACTCTGCTCGTCATCCCCTAGAGAAGCAGCACAGAGTTACTCCAACAACCACGCTGAGTGACCATCAAAATGCTACATATTCCACATCAAAAAACTACCAAATTCACTTGAAGATTCTTTGGGAGTTACTCCTACATTTTATAGCAGTTTTATTTTAAGTTTCATTGATAGTACTGTAATTATAGGGAATTCAACAAGTGCTCCAATTATTCTTGTGCTCAGTCTACAGTGACATAAGCAGCATTTCCCATAGAACGTAGCATCACCCAGCATGAAGGCCTCTTTGTTGGATGGTCCTCTTTACTGAGGTGTTTAGGAGGTTGAGGCAGCTTTATTGCTCTATTGTGGCTGTGTCTCACTGACATTATTTCAGTGCTGTGTGGTGCCTGATGTACAGGTGTGGATCTTTCTCCAATGTAATTACTGCAGGGGAGGTGAAAGTGTAGTGGCCTGGCACAAGCATTATGGGCTACTACAAAGGAGCCCTCAAAATGGGGGGAAAGAGGAGCAAATGCTGCACATGCTACCAATCTGTACATCAGGAAGAATGAGCCACAGTCAGAGGACAGCAGCTTCAAGGAAAAGTATATCATGCCATTAGGAATGACTGGTGGCTTAGAGCACAGAAAGGGTCTATGAGTATTAACTGTGCCATACAGCTGGCTCTATGAAAACTCCATAAGACCTGTCAAGACCACAGTCCACTCATGCCTGGGAGAGCAACAACCAACCACTTCAAAAGTCTCCAAAAAGCAGAGCCAGTGCAATTAACACAGCTGTGTCCTAGTAAATGAACTGCACTAGACAATATTCTGTTAAAGCTGCCTGGCTAGAATTCTCCTTGGGAAAGTAACTTGTGAACAGGCAGCTCCGTGCAGTACGGGCGCCAGACCTCATCCTGAGACAATAAGCCAGTCCTGCATCCCCTCTGAAAACCAGCCATTAGACAAATGAAGCAAACAGCCCAGACCACAACATCAGCCCCCGAAATGACCCACAACAACAGGCAAATGCCTGGAATCAGGATATTTCACAAATACAGACATTTATTTTTATATATATTTGATACATGTGCTCTAGACGGAGGCTTCAGAAGTGGATTCGGAAATTAACAACCAAAATATGTTTAAAAAATAAATAAGGACTGTTCCCCTAAACACTGGAAAAAGGATCATGTGTATAAACATGTCAGCTACTTTGGACACTAGAGCATAAGCTCAGTAACTCTCATCTCAAGCAATTTCCTTCAAAGTCACTTGCTACATTAGACAGACAATAAAGATCAGCATCCACTGCTCCTACAGTGCCTTTCACCCTGAAAGATCCCAAAGCATTTTATAAACTTATGTTCAAACTATACACAGGGACCACTCCTCTATCAATGAAATGCAGCTGCTCCTGGGGTGGAAAATGCCAACTGTTCCAATAACATAATAGTTAAAATGACAAAAAGGGAAGAAACCTGTATCCAGTTGAAACTACACGGGAAATATAGTGAAGCAGAATGTAATTAACTAACTTGGGATTGGGACAGAACATTAAGTTTAAAGGGATTTACAAAGGAAAACAATTGGGCTTGTGCCCTTTCTTTTGCTTCTTTATGACTGATAAAGAAGCTTTGGAAGGAGTTTGTCCAAAAAGGGTATTTTTTCCTTGCTTGTTTTTCACATTAGAGTGTAAACAGCACCTGAACATTTAAGGCTTTGTCTATGTTGGGAAAATGCATCATCTCAGAAAATGTGTTAACATGTTTTAGCTAAAATGATGTCAAACATGAAGTGGCAACTAGTGTTGACAGAGACAGTCATGTTTTTAAAAAAAGTAATTTTTAACGCAACTGTCCCTATCTACAGTAGGTACTACACCACATTTGACATCATATTAGTCAAAACATACTAGTTAACACATTTTCTAACATAACGCATTTTCCCAGTGTAGACACAGCCAAGGACTGGAGAATTAATGAAATTATGACATCACAAGATTTAAGAGATTGGAATTTGAGCAATAGAGAGGGGAAGGGATTTTTAGTCCCTGTTTAAACATTTGTGTTTGTTTCTTTGGTTGACATGTATTTAACTCCAGTACCTAATAATAATCTTGGACAAAGAATGTGTATGTTACAAATTCAACACCAACACCAGTTGAAGTGTGAGAGTCCACAAACTTCTGAGAACTGCTTCTCCCCTGCCTAATACACATGTTTTGGTTGTTGCATCTCCACCAGGCTTAGTATGTTGCTTGTCATCTTAGATTGTGAGCTCTCTGGACCAGTATGTTTCTGTGTTGCAGAGTATGACAAGCAGATTGTGGGAACTTTTGTAATATATATACAAACAATTGACCTCTATTGATAGAGACTTCATGGAGTTCATGATGACCTCACTGAAACTAAGCAGAAAAGTCTGAGTAGTCATCCCCAAGAACCAAATAACGTACGTATTGCCTTATATCACACTTTCCAGTATTTGGATTGTATACATTTGATAAATATCATGGCATTTCCATAAGAAAAGCATGATTTTAACTGAAATCACATGGAACACCTTTGTGATCTGAGCCAATTCCTCTGACTCCTAGCCACTCTCCCTTCCCCGCACATCCTGATCCCCTCCAATTTCTAGTCCTGCACTGCCTTGAATTTGCATTTATAAGTATATAAAAGAGAAATTCCCATATTGCACCAGAGGGAAATCACAAGACAGTAGTTACCTTGACGGCCTTCGTCATTGGTGAAGAGGCCAGTGTCACTGCTGCTGCATACACTGCTGGTTTCACTGCAAAGAACAACCACAGTTAACTGCTGAAAGGTATGCAGCAATAATCTTTTAAATTTTGCCAGTGCCTTTCATCCCAAAAGGACCCCAAAGTACTTTATATACCATACAAAATGGGAATCAATTCATCACTGACACATGATTGCCTCTGGCATGGAACATGTCAACTGTCTAACAGCTCACTACAACACTATGCAATTTAGGAAGAATCCTGTATCGAGTTAAAAAAGGAAATTTTAGGTTATCAGAACATAATTATCAAAAATGGGATTAGGTCAGGGCACCAAGGCTAACGATCATAATTATGACACTCTTTGCAGATATCCCCGTCTCTGGTAACGACCAGGCAACAGAAATGAAGCTAAATGCTCCCCTCGCGGGTCACCTGATGGCCACTGGCAATTGTACCACAACTTTTTCTTTTTAGACTTCCATTTTCCAACATAAATGGAACATAAATGCCTTCTCCTTTCTTTGGCTGGATAAGGGGCTACGCTTCAAGCACTACAGCAGCACAGCTGTGCCACTGTAGCATAGACCCTACTACAGCAACAAAAGGGGTTATTCTGTTGTTGTTGTAGTAAGTCCACCCCCTCGAGAGGCAGTACCTAGGTTAATGGAAGAGTTCTTCCCTCAGCCTACCTGCATCTATAGTAGGGGTTAGGTTGACCTAATTACATCACACAGGGCATGAAATTTTTCACAGCCCTGACTGAGCAACATAGCTAGGTCAACCTAAGTTTAGATGTAGACCAGGCCTCAAGTCCCTAACTACTCATCCAAATAAACCAGTACTACATAGCTTGCAGCTGTAGATAACCACCAGTTAAACTGAGTTTTAAACTTGGCCACTGCTGCTGCTCCAGGAGACAGTTTACGAAGGAATTTGTTTGGAAAATAATCTGAGTAGAAAACTTAACTGTCTGTAAAAAGTTTTGAAAAGGCTGAACATTGTGCTGCAAAATTACATGCTCATGTCAATCCTAGGTATTTGATGGGTTAATGCTAGGATTCGATCTTTTCTAGGACATATTATCCAATACCTCCATTATTCTGAGATCTCTCAGCAAAAGCAATACCCCTTCCACCCTGCACACAGGTTACAGGGCCTTATGGGAGAAGTGAATCCTAGCTTTAACTCAGCATCTGAAATAATCTCAGCAGTGTGGTTAGATAAGATCCCCATGTACCCTGGAAGAGCAACATCACACAGCATGGTGTGTGGTTATACCAGCCACCAATATCCTCAGGAAACTTTATGGGACACAAGGCAAAGGGACAGTGAGTGTCACCCCATCCACAATTAACTGTATGTACTCACTAAAACCATATGCTGTGAAGCATATTACTGCTTTTTAAAAAACATGTTCTGTAAATAGCTAAGACAATCCATTATACTGGATACCTGAAAGTCTGAACCTTCATCAGTGCATTAGAGTCCATTTTTCAGTTGGTAGTTTTAAACATACAGATGGAAGAGGTTGCAAGTCCCTCCCACATTCTAGCATGCAACTTAACACCAAGTTTTAAGCCAGCCTTTTATGAAGTTTGTGCCATCCATCCCCTAACATGCTGTATGAGAAAGGGACAGTAGTTAAAGCATAGGACCAGGAATCATAAGAAAGGAAAAGGATTATTAAACCAAGTTCCGAATCAAATTAACAGAACAGCCAGTGCCTCAAAGTACTGGAAAACCCTGCAGTGCCTTACAGATACATACTCCGCCACGCTTTCTACCTGCGGTATCAGTACAAAGGTTCATTGAAAGATATCCTTACCTATTCTCCCTTTATATTTCAGGCCTGGAAAACGGAGTATCCTGTACACAAGCCTTTCCTCAGGTTCAGTAAGCACCGATTAATGCTCTCCACTTGCAAAGGAGGCTACTTACCTTAACCATGAAATAATGAATGCTATTGATCCGACAAGCTACTGCTATAGAGTGTTATTGATCGCCCAATCTTTGGTTAAAATGGTCCTCATTTAGCAATTTCACTGTCGCAAACACCTGGAGCAAAGCATGCTTATAATTAAATAGTTTGGGGGAGTTAAAGTGAGAGGTGATGGACAGAGATCTCAGCTTTCCGACATTTATTCCTGCTCCTGAGCTATTGTTTGTGTCAGGAGGGACATTGATTTTCTATAAAAATAAGAAAACAAGAAGCACCAAGGGGCTGCAGAAGGTCAGGCCGGGCTAGAGAAGGAGGGGGAGGCTGAACACTCTGTCTCTGTCACTTGCCTTCCAGGAGAAGGGGATTTTTTCTTTTCTGAGAGATCAGCCCCTAATACATCAGCTGAGCCAGGCTCATGACTGCCACTACAGGCTGTCACCAAACCTGCTACTATTCAAAAGGAACTAAACTACAAACTGGGGAGTAACTGGTCATTCTATCAGCCCAGAATATATCAAGATAAAACAAGCGGTCACCTTATCACTGGCTGGTAAACTTAGTACAACATCCAATTTGAAATTAAGCGATACAAAAGAAGGCTAGTTAGATATTGTTTATGTGAAAGATTAGAGAGACAATATGTCATCCGTGAACTTGAAGTAGCATGTGTGTTAGCAAGTGTTAGGGGATGTTCTCAGACAGCCCTTGGACTATTCTGGTTTGATCTGCCCTATGTAATCACATTAAGCAGACAATTCAGACAGCATACATCTTAGATAAATGAGACAGACGTTCAGAGCCTCCATTTATAGTTCGTCAGTTCCCCATCGTGTGGGAGAGCTCCAAAATATTAAAAGGGGGACTGAGTGGAGAGGTTTTACTTCTAAGTGTCTTCGCAACTAATCGTCACCATTGTACTGGTAGCTCAAAAATCTCAAATGTCCCCTAAAATGAATCCATGTTTCTCTCATTCTTGGTTTCCCCTTCCTTTTGGCTATCAGGCTTTGATTCCCCTCTCATACCACTCTTAGATCAGTCATTTGCTCCCTCACCATGTTCCTATGCATCTTTCCTTTCCCCTCTTCATTTCAGTCTCCATCTCCCCCACTTTTATGTAGGATGTTTCTTAGTCCATTATCTATGTGTGTGGGAGGGCATTCCAAAATTCTTCATCCCCCACATCCCACTCTGAAGACATGATATGGTAACAAACCTTTCTCCAGTATAAAACTGAATATAGCCCCACCGGTAATCCATCAAAGCTGCTTCCTCATTAAGGTCCTAATCCAAAGCTTATTAAGCCAACGGGAGTCTTTCCATTGAATTCAGTGGGCTTTGGATCAGAGCATAAGCAAAGGAAAGTGATGAAAGTGCTGAGTGTTCTAGCTCCACAGAGATGCTAGATCCTGCTAATCTAGGAGGAAAGAGGGTGTGGAAAACGGCACTGCTGAATGATACAAGGCATTTGTTCCCATAGTGGCTGAGTGTGACACTTGTGTACTCCTAATCTCTGTTGACAGGAGAAGTGAGAAACACAATTCAATCCTAAACTGATGTACAACAGCCCCTAGAACACCAATACTGCTTCCTGGCCCCGCTTGCTTTGCCAATCACCTTTCCTCTTGCCTGTTTATGGCTATACTCCTAATCATTTTCTCTCCTCCCTGTCCAGTTTTCACACATTCCTCAGGATATGCCCTTGCTGCAGCTCTACGAAGCACTTCAGTGGTATCAGATGGAGCATCTACAGCAGAGTGAAAATGCTGTAAGCATACCCAGTTTCACTCTGCTGTTTCTAGTAGGGAAGCACTGTATTTAGTGCAGGAGAGGCAAAGGCATGATCCCTCACTGCTGCCAGAAGCGTTCTACAAGGAGAAGTAATGCACATGTATTTCTCCCTCTAACTCCACTCCCCTCACCAAGCCACAGCCCAGACCATACATGTGGAGGTGAGATGGTCAAACATTTTCACCTCTGGATTTCCAAAGAGAATCCAAAGGCTTTGGCAGCAGATGGCAAGTGTCATCTGATGCAAACGTATGCACAATAAGCCTTGGTCTACACTACAGAGTTAGGTCAACGCAAGACAGCTGACATCGACCTAACTCTGTAAGCATCTACATCGGCAATCTTTGGCATGCGGCATGCCAAGGTAAGCCCCCTGGCGGGCCGGGCTAATTTGTTTACCTGACACATCTGCAGGTTTGGCCCATTGCAGCTCCCACTGGCCGCGTTTCGCCACTCCAGGCCAATGTGGGCTGCTGCCCGTGCCACTTCCCACAGCCCCCCTTGGCCTGGAGCGGTGAACCGCGGCCGGTAGGAGCTGCAATTGGCCGAACCTGCGGACACGGCAGATAAACAAACCGGCCTGTCCCGACAGGCGGCTTACCCTGGCGGGCTGTGTGCCAAAGGTTGCTGATCCCTGATCTACACTAAAATGTAGCTCCCACCAATGTAACTCGCCAACTACTCCGACTTAGTAACTCCACCTCTGTGAGAGGTGTAGTGTTTAGATTGATGTAGTTATGTCGATGCAGTATCAGTGTAGATACCGTGTTGCTTACATCGACTGTTGCTGATTTTCAGAAGCCACTCCACACTGACAGTTAAATCAGTGCAAGCACTCCTGGTGAGGATGCACACCGCTGACACAAGGAACATAGTATGGACATGCAAAAGCAATTAATTAATGTAGTGGCTGTATGTCATGGTAACTTAGGTCAACATAATTTTGTACCGTAGATATACCCTAATTAGTCTGAGGGAAAGGAACCAACTGAGGGAAAACAAAACAATCACCCAGCACATTCCTCAGGTGATGGACCAAAACAAAGCTGTGTGTTTGCTTTCTCAATGGCTGGCACAGATAAGGCTGGATGAAAGCCAGCTGGTTTAAGTTCAATTGAACATGATGGAAGAGATACTGATTGGTGCAGAAAGTACCTCGAGGAGGCTAGCAATGTCTATTACTGCTCCATCAAGTGAGGGAATCTATCTACCCATTGTCATTGAGATACATTCTCAAGGTGCTACTCAATATATCCTTCCTGTACTATTAGATAAAAATGTCTTTTCCCATCTTTAGATGGCAAAAAAAAGCATCCTCTCTTTGGTAAGAAAGGCCTCACCTTGATCTGTGCCTTTGTTACAACTACACTAGACAACTAACATGCAGTAACTTGTAAACAGAACAACGTTTTGATCAAGGTACATACAGTAACTGCAAACAAGGCTAACTGGTCACTACAGGATTCTGTTTTCCTTTGCTGTTTCTCATAAACCCTTGGAAACATGAAACTGAAATCAGTCTCATCCATCACTCACTGGCTTGTCAACATGGTTTTACTTGCAAAGACTAGAGCCACTAACATGCTGGTTGTCACTGTGAAGACAGAGACAACAGACTTCTCATTGGAGCCATAAGCACACCGGTTTGTTATGAGGACAACATGCACATGTCACTACTGGGTCATGAAGACAACATGCACACTGATTTAGCACCACAGGACTGCAGGTAAGGGTTTGGAGATTTTTTTTTTCTTGTATCTTTAAGGGAAAACTTTGTTTGAGAGGGAACTACCTAGACCAGGGCACAGTCTTTGCAAGCAGCTGTAAAGGAAGTTGATAATCTGATTGTGGTAGGTGAAGGAAAGGCCTGGAGAGCTCACCATTCAGACATGTTTTCATCAGAACCCTGTTTTTGTTCATCCGCTTCACACTCCATCCTCTCCTTCCTCCCCCCTTTACTGAGGAAGGGCCTGTTCTCTGCTGACTCACACAGACCATGGCTGGATGAAGTCCAAGGGGCGTTCTCCTTCCAGCGTGACAGACGCTGCTTCTTGGCTGACTTGAACCTATAGCCTCTCTCATAGTTCCACTCCGACACCTTGAGTTTCTGCTGGAGGCTAGCAGCTACCTCTGAGGTCACACGTTTCACCTTCCGGCGACGCCTGAGGGGCCGGCAGGGTCCATTTTCCGTGAAGGAGTCCGACTCATGCCAAGAATGCTGCTTGCTCTTTAGGGTGGCACTCAGAGCTGGGTGGCGTTTGGCCACAGCCATGTCATCTGAGTCACTGAAGTTGGCAGTCAACACCTCACGACAGTCCTTCATGGCTTCATCCAGGCTTGATTCCGAAGCCTCACTGTAGCAGCAGGCATGCTCCGCCTGGTGCGTGAAGTCTGAGCGCCGCTTACGACCCCTCCTCTTGCGAAGCTGCCGCCGCTGCTGCCTTGGGCTCAGGGCCATCTCTTCCCACAGCTCATCCAGCTTGTTTTGTTCTGAGGTCTGCTCCAAGGCCGAGGCCAAGTCATGCACCAGCTCATCCATGGGCAATGTCTACTAAACACGAAAACAACCAATTAGCACCAGCCACTAATGTCACTGCAACAGCACATCACTAGACCAGCATAAACTAGAGCCTTCTTCACACCAGCAACTTGGTTAGACACTCACCTTGGACCTGCCCAATAGGACTAATACAGGCAAACTGTTCTTCTTGTGCTACAGCTCAGTCTTCCCTTTAAAATTAGGGCTACCACTTCCCCTTCCCAGCCAAGACCGCCTCATGCTATAGCAATTAAAGACAAGTTTATGCCTGACACGGATACAAGATTGCATTTTCTTCCTTGAAGCAGTATGTCCCAGTATCCAGCCTAAAAGTGAAATGGCCTGCATTCAGAACACCATGTGATGTCATACCATCAGCTGTTATATGCAAGAAATAGGGTTGGGCCTGCTCATTACATGGATGGGAGACCTCTACCAGTCACGAAGGGACTGTGAATGACTTAATAGGTGGCACACTTGGCTCAGACCAATGACACAATGGGTATTAAAGACTCTATGCTGCATGAGGATCAGTCTTTCCAAAGAGGAATAAAGCTTAAGTCTCATACTAATGCAGTCACAAAGATTCCATGATGCTTTGCCCCCCCCTCCTTTTTTTTTTTTTTTTTTGAGATGGGAGAATCAGGCGTTAACCAGAAATACTGTTCAAATTTCAATCTGTGTAATTATAGTCCAGTTTGTTACATCTCCCCAGCCATTACAGTTCTATATAGGATTGTTCTTCATCTCTCACCCAAAACTGTTGTTTCGTGTTGCTGTGCACTACCAAACAGCTGTGGTTTCCCACCCCACAAATGACTGCTCACTCAATACACAGGGAGTCTTTGATCTAAGGCACTTTGGTGTGCAATACTACAAAACCAGGATCCTGTTGTTATACAATAAATCCGCTCCTGCTAAGATACTTTCTAACCACAGCAGCAAACTGGACCCCCGACACAGAAAACTGAAAACACCTTATGGGAATATGTACAATAGATTTGTGTACACTGGGGCAGAGCTGCCTCAGGAAATAGGGGACACTGTGCCTTGCCCTCCCGCCAGAGCCCTGATGAGGCCAGGGCCCGGGGACTGAGGGAAAGCCTCAGGGAAACACACAGGACAGAAGCTCTGGGCACCTTTCTAACCCAGGAGTCGGAGACGTAGGTAAAATCCCGCATCACCCAACGCAGCACAGACCGACGCCACGACTCCTGCGTTCCACTTCCTCAGCTACTCCCGCAGCTCATCTCCCCGCCGCCGCCTGTCAGCCTTCGGCCGGAACCACCCTCACCCCGCCCACGGCGCCCGCCCTGCCTGGGCCCCAGGCCCCCAGCCCGGCCCTGGCACCGGCCCTGCCTGGCACCACCCCAGAGCCTGGCATCATCCCCCGACCTATGTCAGACCCTCGCGCTAACCGACCCTCCCAGCCCCGAGCCGGGCTAAGGCGGGTCTCACTCACCCGCCCGCCTCGGCCTCTCCGGGGTCCTCGGCCTCCTCTCGGAACAGGACTTCCGGTCTCGGGGGTCACTTCCGCCCCGCCCCGCCCGCCCCGCCCCCTCAGCGTGCACACTTCCGCCCCGCCGCGGTGGAGCTGTGCGAATGGTGAGCAGCTGCGGGAGGCGCCTGGCCCGGGGGTGGGGGGGCGCACGTGCAGCTCAGGCAAGAGGGGCAGGACGATGCTTGCGCTCTGTTCTCTGCTCCCTTCGGGCTCTTTCTTTGCAGCAGCAACAGTGTGTCAGGCAGGGGACTGGCCCCGCAGCTGTGCTGCCTAAACAGAGAGCGGGGGCTTGGTGTGACCCTGGCTGGGGCAAAGCATACAGCTGCTCCGTGCTGCTCTCCGCCCAGCCTGTCCATCCGCCCAGGAGACTGGAACCACTGCCTCCTTCCCTCCTAAGGCAGTGAGTTTCGGGGACTCTACAATGCCCCTACCAAGAGCCCTAGATGAGGACCTGGCTTTAAGCACAGCTGCAGTGGAGGGCTCTCAGGGTTGGGTGGGACTCTCTTCCCTGCTCAGATTATTTGTTGAGCTTCATCCTTGCGTCTATACAGGTGTGAGCACAAGGCTCCTGCCCCAAGGAGCTCACAACAGGACAAGGTGATAGGCAACCGAGACACAAGCCAAAATTTTTATTGGCATGATAAAACCAGAGGTGAAAGTAAGCCGGTACAGCGTACCGGCAAGAGCCCATGCACTGTACCGGGGCGGATCGGCTTCCCCAGGCAGCAATTTAAAGGGCCTGGGGCTCCCAGCTGCGGCTGGAGCCCTGGGCCCTTTAAATTACCACCACAGCCCTGCTGCCAGAGCCCTGGGAAAGCGGCAGTAGGGCTTGGGTGGTGATTTAAAGGGCTCAGGGCTCCTGCTGCAGCTACCGACCCGGGCCCTTTAAATAGCCACCGGAGCAGCAGCAGGGCTCCAGGGACGATTTAAAGAGTCTGGGGCTCCAGTAGCCACTACCACCCTGGTTCCTTTAAATCGTCCCGGAGCCTGACGGAGCTCTGGGGTAGCGGCGGCAGGGCTCTGGCGGTGATTTAAAGGACACAGGGTTCCGGCCACCGTTACCACCCCGGGCCCTTTAAATAGCCGCCGGAGCCCAGCCGCCGCTACCCCAGGGCTCCAGCAGGCTTCGGGGATGATTTAAAGGACCCGGGGCAGTAGCAGCAACCGGAGCCCCGGACCCTTTAAATCGCCGCCTGAGCCCTGCTGCTGGAGCCCCGGGGGTCACGGCAGCAATTTAAAGGGTCTGGGGCTCTGCTGCAGTAGCTCAGGTGGCAATTTAAAGGGACCGGGGCTCCCTCTGCCGCTACCCTCCGGAGCCCTTTAAATCGCCACCCGAGCCCCGCTGCTGGAGCCCTGGGGTAGCGGCAGCGGAGCTCTGATGGTGATTTAAAGAGCCAGGGGCTCCCAGCTGCCGCTACAGCAGTGGAGCCCTGGGCCCTTTAAAGCACCACCAGAGCCCAGAGCCCCAGGGTAGCAGTGGCAGCAGAGCGCCCCCGGGGCTCTGATGGTTATTTAAAGTGTCTGGGACTCTGCTGCAGCAGCTGGAGCCCCGGGCCCCGGGGCTCCCAGCCGTCTCTGCAGCTGGTAGCTCCAGGGTGATTTAAAGGGCCCGGGGCTCGCAGCTGCTGCTACCACAGTCCCAGCCCCAGGCCCTTTAAATCTTGATTTAAAGGCCCCGCCTCTTCGAGTAGAGGCCCCGCGTCTTCCTAAGGACTCCAGAGTATCAGTAAAATCCTTTAAGTTACTTTCATGCCTGGATAAAACCTGTGTGTGTTACTAAAGTGTGAGGAGATTGAGGGCTTGGGTCTCTATCAGAGGTGGATGTGACCCAGCGAGTACCTGCTCCCAAAGTATGCTACATCTTCAGAGTGTGGTGTTTGGCCTGAAGTGGACAGATGGGATTGCATCAGCCTTTATCCTACTGAATGGGGTTATATACTTTATGCCCAGTTATCATTATTGTCTATGTTTACAGATGGCACCCAAATGCAACAGGCAGTGGATACCTCACAATGCAGTACTGCAAAAATATGTTACATACAAAAAAGCTGTTTGTTACAGGGGAGAGTGCAGCATGCAAAAGTCAGGGAGTGGCAAAGTTAAGGTTGTTCACACATTACCATACAGCATTCAATTACATGTCTATGGACTGTTTTCTCTACCTCATTCAATGCACATGTTGTACAGTGACAGTGAATAAGGCAGATGCCTACCAACATATGGTCCGATTCTGCTCAGTGTCCCCTTCAAGTTCCCTTTGTTTGATCCTTTGACATTCACACCTGCCCCTGTTACATTTTTGTTTGTCCCCTGTAATTATCTGAGTACCTGGACCTTGTGGATCCTCCCCTAAGGTTGGTGGAGGGCCCTTTAGCAGTCCTTTAGCCCACTTCCCAGAACCCAATAGGAACATACGGTCCCATGTACACCATTCAACCTCCGCACACTCCTGCCTCATTCACTATCCATCCTGTACACTGAATGAACGGGGGTCCTGCAGAAAAAAAAATAGTATGTAATCATGTAATTACAGGCTTCATGTCCAATGACCACCTGGTCTAGTGGTCAGCTCATGGCCTTCTGTCAGCCTAGTCATCCCAGAGAAGGCTGACTGGGGCCACAATCACCCCCATATACTCCAAACCTTCCACAGAGATTCTGTCACTATAGTGGAGCAGGGGAGGGGGGAAGATAGGGGGACCCACACCCACTCCAACACAGGACCCTAGGGTTTATCAAAGTACCCAGCCCACTTACTGAGCTACTCCAAATTATGTTTTCCCTTGGGTACTTCCAACCACACTAGCGCTCCTCAGTGTGGGGCATGGTCTCTGACCTAGCAGCCTATCCCCAGTCTCTGACAGCCCTGTTCAATCAATCTCTTTTAGGGCTTTTCAGCTCCTAGAGAGGGGAAGAGAGCCTAGTCCCTGCTACTAGAGCAGCCATCACAAAGCTTTTGCCACTCCTGCCACAGCCGCAGCCTTGCTTTCTGATGCCACATGCAACTCATTTCCCCCCTTTTCCTGGGCAGTGTACTTTTAAACTGTTCCTCCACTGAGAACATGCCCTACACCTGCTGAGGGGTAGCACCTCCCTAGTCCAGTATTGCTGTACTCCCAGTCCTGGTTCAGAGTGGGGCCTGTAGATGCCATCATGCTGTATGAAACTGCATAAGCGCATAGGTCAGAGGCAATGTTGCAAGGCCAGCGTTAATTTTGGCATTTATTAGAAAACATCTAGCCCTTCCTTTGGAGATGACTGCAGGATTGTTCCCTATATTAATTTTTCCAGGATTTTGTTCAGTCTAGTTTTAAATATTCCAAGTGAGGGGCTTCCACCATTTCTCTTGAGAAACTAACACAGGAATGCCAGACTGATCAGATTAGTGGCCTGTCTAGCTGCTATACTGTCTCAAAAAGTGACCAATACCAGATGCTTTACAGGAAAGCATAAAACTTCTAGCCCAGTAACTCAAATAAACCACATGATTAGGAAATGTCACTTCATGTACAGCCTAAATTTTCATTTCCTTTTCCCCTCATTCTTTAGTTCATTCTTTGGAGCATGGTAAACAAAGCTTCTCCCTCCTTGCTTACTCTCTTCAGAGCAGTGTGGAGACAATCCATTTAGAAACCAATCCAATGCCCAATAAAGTCAAGGAGTGTCTTTCCACTTACTTCAGTGGGTGTAGGATTGGGTCTTTGTCCTATTGGAGAGGAACCAAGCAACACCCCTCCCCCCAACCCCAGGTTGACAATAGAGACAAACTGGATGGAGCTGCATCCAGCAGTCTCAGCTGGAGTGTGGT